TGTGGATGGTTTGGGAGATGATGGTTTGGTGCTCAGGGGTGGGGTCACGATCAAGGGGGCGGTAGGAGGAGGTGTCGGAGAGATGGCGTCTGGCGTCTGGCCTCGGCGATGTAGAGGTCAGTGCGCCATACTACAACTGCGCCTCCCTTGTCTGCAGGTTTTATGGTGAGGTTGGGATTGGAGCGGAGGGAGCGGAGGGAGCGGAGGGCTGCACGTTCTGCGGGGGAGAGGTTGGAGTGGGTGAGAGGGGTGGAGAGGTTCAGGCGATTGATGTCTCGACGGCAGTTGGAGATGAAGAGGTCGAGGGAGGGTAGGAGGCCTTGGGGTGGTGTCCAGGAGGAGGGGGTGTGTTGGAAGCGGGAGGAGGGGTCAGTAGAGGGAGGGTTAGGTTCACGGTTGAAGAAGTAAGCGTGGAGGCGGAGGCGGCGGAAAAACTGCTCTCTGTCCAAGCGTGAAATCTCCCCTCCCCCACCGCATCCCAAAACCAGTCCAGCTCATCCCTGCCTCCCTAACCTGCTCTTCCTCCCACCTATCCCCTCCTCCCACCTCAAGCCGCACCTCCATCTCCTACCGACCAACCTCATCACGCCCCCTTGACCTGTCCGTCCTCCCTGGACTGACCTATCCCCTTCCTAACTCCCCACCTACACTCACCTTTACTGGCCCCAGCCCCGCCTCTTCGACCTGTTTGTTTCCTCTCCACCTATCCTCTCCTCTATCCATCTTCTATCCGCCTCCCACTCTCTCCCTATTTATTTCAGAACCCCCTTCCCCTCCCCCTTTTCTGATGAAGGGTCTAGGCCCGAAACGTCAGCCTTTCTGCTCTTATGATGCTGCTTGGCCTGCTGTGTTCATCCAGCCCTGCACCTTGTTGTCTCGGATTCTCCAGCATCTGCAGTTCCTACTATCTCTGCTTTAAACTTGCTTCAGTTTGGAAGTTTTAACACTCTTTTACCCATTTCTCCACACTAAAATTTAAGTTTTGCTTCATGAGTTGCTACTTTTCAGTCTTATTATGCCTCACAGCTCCAACATTTCACATTTTGTAAATACAAGTTATTTTTAATTATTACTGACAGCCAGCTATTTTATATATTCCCTATTAGTTACACATTTCTAGGATTTCTGCCAAGTGTGCATCCTTTAATCAACATGTGTCCAGAAATTCCAATCAGGGTCTGAACTCCTGTCTCAGGCCCTGATCAGATAAAGGAATACCTACTTACTTTTCAATTACTCTGTGCTGGAGATTCCTGAACAGATGCCTCCCTTTATAAACCTTGTCCAGGAATTCTTGAAAACAGCAGTGAAAACAAAACATCAACAAATGAGGTCTATTTATAGCACTTGCACTAATTTCTGAAGTTTAAATGAACAGCAGAAGTGAGTGAGGTGGTAGGATGACTGGAATCTGAGGGGTTAGGTTGTGTGGTGAGTGTGGTGGGTAGGGTTCCAGATAGATGAGGTAAGGTGCCAGGTAGCTGTGATGGGTAGGGTGGTAAGCGGTGGGGGAGGGGTGGCGGCATATGTGCCAGGTGAGTAAGGATAAGAGTAAGGATGCCAACCAAGTGGATGAGTGTTTAGGGTAGGTTGGGGGTGGTACCTCTCAGATGAGTCTGGTCAGATTGGGAAGAGGGTGGCAGTATCGGGTCTGGTGGGGTTGGTGGAAGGGTGCTTATATGGTGGGGTATAGGTGGGTGGTGGTGATGATGATAATAATATGTCTAGTAGAGTTACTAGGATTCTGTCTGGCAGGCGTGTGGTGGAGCTGGGTCAAAGGGTGTGAATTGGGGGTGTCAGATTCTCATAGTGTCAGGGTCAAGCAGTGACGGGATGTAATTGGTGGTGGTTGGATGATTGGCACAGTGGTGAATCAGGGGGCTCAGTTTAATAGTTACCCAGGAGTTACAGTATGTCCTTAACCCTAATAAGTGAATTGAAATACTCTGAAATCTCTGATTTCAAGGGGCTTTCTTGAAGGATCCGGATACAAGGGAATTACCTATTGGAATTTTCAATTTCCCATGCCATTCCTTTGGAGTCAATTATATCAGGATTTCTGGATCGTCCCAATGTGCAACTCTAGCCTATGGTGCTGCAACGACTAGCTGTCACACTAACGAGCCATAATCTTCAGTTGCATCTGAAGATCAAATCCTATAAATCATCTGGTGCAAAGAATATTGTAGTCATTTTTCAACTCATTACTATTTCCTGTATGGTTATTTGCTGCAAAGTACCAGTGACATGCCAGATTAAAACTTCAATTATTTTCAACCACAATAATAATTACTTTTATACGCTCTGTAGTTCAAAGTTTCCAGAGAGGCTCATGTTCTTGGAAACAAGATCCGCCTGTTTATCTTATTCAGTACGCAGTTGCATTCCTATTCTTTATTTTAACACTTTCAACACTCATTCCTTTCGTGCCTTAAAGCCTTGAAAGAACTCAGTTTAGGTGGGTGTGCAACATGGACAATATCAAGTCAGCAGCTTATTACACACTTTATTCAAATTTCCTTTACACTTTACACCTCCCCACCCGCCACCATTAAAGTTTCAAATTCCTCTTCCTTTGATTGAGGTTTTTTCTTGCATTTTGTTTCCTTTGTAATACAATTGACATACATTCCATATTTTAAGTTGGTCTTTCTGAAGTGTAGTTTCTGCTCGTTCCAATGAATTAGAATATGAGAAGATTTCTGGGGTAAAATTCAACTTTGGCAGGATACATACTTAAGTCTTAATCAATGTAAGAAAGTGATGAGTAATTGGATGCCTGATTTTATTTTCCATTGAAAAGATCGGAAATGGTTCACTTTTTGACATAACACAAGAATTCTGCACTCATTAAAATTGAATTTGTATGGCATAGAAAAAATTGACCAGACCAATATAGGGACTCAAGGATGGGAGCTGTTGCATAAACTCATTTCCCATTCTCTCAAGATGTTCAAATCAATAAAAGAGATCAATAGGCTAGCTAAAATTAAAATATTTTCTCCCCTGGGTGAACGAGAGGACAAATTTTAAACCACGAATGAAACCAGGAAAGAATATTTCACACAAAGGATAGTGTAAATGTGGAATTCTCTCCTGCATAAGGTTGTGGATTTTGGGTCATCTGAAACTTTCAGGAGTGATATGAATAGGTATTTGCTAGGTGGGATTAACACGGAACATGGGACAAGGCAGGTACATGGAACTCGTGGAGAGATAAGCTATGATGTAACTGAATTGTGGAGCTTGAGGGCATGAACGGCCTGCTCCTGTTTCTACATTCCCATGAACAACCATCGAATTCAACTGATGGAATATTTGACCTTGAGAGCAACGAAGACTATATTCAAAAACAGAAAGTACTGGAGAAACAAAGTCTAGCAGCATCGAGGGAGAGAAAAACAGTTAAACACTTTCAAGTCCAGTGTTTTTTTTGCTGTGGCTTGTTGGACCAGTGGAGACTGGCTCTCCTCCAAATTTTCAGCCAATGGGTGAGGCCACTGTCTCCGTGGAAAGTTCCAGCTAATACTTCAACAATAAAGCTTTCCCTGGTATGTAACCAGTTGCATTATTGTTACAATCATGCTGACAAACTCCACTGGGATAGATTTTATTATCAAAAGAACTAAAAAAAAAATCAGGAATAGAAGATAGACAATCTTCTTTACACTTCGGTATAAAGTCAAAATCCACTCAACTATAAGTTGTGCAATAAAGGGAATACTGGAGACACTCAGCAGCTCTGGCAGCATCTGCGGAGAGAGAAACAGAATTAACTTTTCAAGTCCAAAGACTCTATGGAATGACAAATTGTGTTTTACGAGCAAAACAAAACATACTTAGATTGTGTGCTGTATCTGGATACTCTCAATAAGATCAGCTACAATGAAGTTCTGTGTATGAGTGTTTGGACAATGCAATGTAACTCATTTTCAATGTGTCAAAGGGTAATTTGGAGTCGTTCTGTCATAACAGCAATAACATTTCATTCAAATTTTTTTTTTTAAAATATGTGCCATGCTTTTGGTTTTGCCAAGTAATACACACCATAGTCATAGTGTTCAGTGGTCTTACTTAACATAGTAGACTGTCATGATATGAACTTTACAGAGCGTTTGGGTTTTGGAAGACAATGGAGACAGAATCCAGGTTGTGACGTTGACACTAGTGTGTATCATTGATGCCAATTTGGGTTTTATTATATCTTTGATTGCTACCCTGTTGGGGTGGGTGCAACTGAACTATTGCTGCTGTTGAGATGCTAATCTGGAAGCAATGATTTCAACAAATATCATCTTGCTTATCCTCAAACTGTACATGATTTTCTCAGTTTAGGATTTTTCTAAATATTTTTAGAGAAGTTTTCGTTTGGTTCCTGACCACATTTCCACTCTTCATTTGCAATTTGACATGGAGCATGAGCTATACTGTAGTTGTTGCAAGTGTACTGATATGCTTTGGCCTCCTTGTCAGTGTTCTACACTGGATTGCATTCATCCAACTGTGTGTTTAGATGAGAATTTGACATCCCAGATTTGCAGTCACTTTCATGTTGACTTTCAGTCACATTCACAAAATCACTTGACAGTAACAATGTCAATATATGACAGATTTTGTTTTAACATCACAAGGCATGGGCTGACAGGCCAAAAAGTTGCTCCAAGGAGACTAATTTTCCAGATCCATTGGCAGACAACGGCTTAATTATCTCAATATTTATGTTCTCTCAATTAATCCATACAACTTTTATAAAATTGAAGCAAAATTTAATCTGCTTGGATGTACTTTTAAAAAATTCATAAAAAAAAAAACTTACCTTAAATTCTTTTTCAATATTTGCCAGCTTGGCTAATTCATTACTAAGTTCCAGTGCAGTATGTACTGGATCCTCACTAGACAAAGACAAATAGGCAGGGCTTGCTAATCCTTTGTATGCATTGATCCTTGATCTGGAGTGACTAAATGAATCATGCTTTTGTTTCTCCACACATTCATTGCATTTACAAAAATAATCATGAGGTTTCTCAATCCGCGCTCCTTTCATCAACAACATGTGCACCACCTCGTATTTTTGGCAATGGGCAGCCAGAATGATTGGAGTGATATCTGGAGAAAATCTGGTGCCATCTTCATCATAAGCATAAAAATCATCATCTTGCATTTCTTGCTCACATGGGCTGAGGGTCAGCCGATTACTGGGCTCAAATCCAGAGTGATTCAAAATTGCTTCCACAATTCGTATATATCCCTTGCTGATAGCAAGTAATAATGCATCTCCAATTCGAGCCAAATTATCCCTCTTTAGAAGGAGCTCAGTTACTTCCAAATGTTCATTTCCAACTGCTAGCTGTAGGGCATTCTGGCCCATGTAATCAACACAATTAACATTCAGTGACTTGCTCTCTTCCAGCATTCGTCGAACAACAGGTATGTTCCCATATTCAGCTGCGTCCAGAAAACGTTCTTCTTCCAGAGTAAGGCTTGTGCCCCTGTCATTGAACATGAATGCTGGACCACGGATGGCCTGTCTCCTTCCCTTCTCCCGTAGCACAGTCATTCTCCGTTGTATTACAGATGTGTTACTTACGCTTGGCCTAAGAGAGAGAGAGCACAGTAAACCAAGGTAAGATGTGGAATAGTTCTGTAGTCAGTCATCTCTGCTAAATTTAGAACTTCTGAATATTGTCTTTTCATTTTAATCAATTTTTATTATTCTTCAAGTTTTTCCAAGAAGATCAACCAAAGCCTATTCTTGTTGATATACTAATGGTTTTTTCATGTGGAAAACTATCTTGGAGTTATCAGAAAGGATGGGGGATGTTTACCAAAATGTGTATCAGTAATGAGTGAATTACAATTGACAATAATTGACCAACATGCCAGAGAAATGATGAACATTGTTTTGTGCAGCAAGTTTTTAAATGCAGAATTGAAAAGGTGGTAGAAGAAAATTCAAGCATAATGCTCAAAAGAGAATTCGATATATACTTCATTAGGAAAAAAATGCAGTACAAGAGGGAAAAGAGCTAGATTACTGAGATACCTCTTTTAAAGAGCCAGCACAGGGGAAATGGACTGAATGGCCTCTTTCTGTATGATTCCATAGTCCTGGAGTTAGAATTCTTGTAGTGTATTATAAACAGTTGACACACAGCATGGCAAAACTGAACAAGATATGCCTCATAGGAGAGGAGGAGATTCTCGTGTGTCAAGTTCACCAATTGGAAAATACATTTGTGTTTTTAAATTTATCAAATATGTAAGGGAGCTTCATTTGACAAATTGTGTGATGAAATCAGATTTTATTATTCAGCAGTTTACATATGCTGAATCTAAGAGAACAATGGCTTTGCTTTAGCAACATAGAACAAGACAGCACAGGAACAGGCCCTTCACACCACCATGTTTGTGCCAACCATGATGACATTCTGAACTAATCTTATCTGCTTGTACATCGTTCACATCCCTCGATTCTCAGCCACTTAATGTGTCTTTCTAAATGGCTCTGCTTCTGTCACCATCCCTAGCAGCACATCCGGGCACCTACCAACAATTTTGTTTGTGCTGAAACAACTTATTCTTTGCATCACATGATAATACAGAACACTGCAGATGTATTCTGAATATTGCAGAAAAGCTCTAAAAAAAAAAAAAGGATTTGTTTTGAACAATAGTGGAAAAGTAGTAAGTAAACCATTTCTAAACTCACAGTCACACATTCAGTCCTTATGGCCTAGAAATTTGGGGACAGATTTCTTTCCTGCATTTAAATGGTGAGGTCCAATTTACATTTAAGATTGGGTGTCAAACCTGTTCACCAAGCAGCTAGTCACTGCACAAGCAATTCAACAGTAAAGTGAAATGGAAGATAAGGTTGCTGCAATAGACTTCTGGTGAACGATTAACTGCAAATTTCTATTTATAATTATGTGCACATCCTGTTCATTATTTTGAGGCTTTGAAGGCCAGTTAGCATCTGAAGACTGATTGCTATGCAATTACATTTTCAGGCAAAGATCTCTTCGGTATCCATTTTGGTCTTGAGAGCCTGTTATTTCTATTACTATTCTGTTATTTTTTTTACCTGAAATAATCAGATATCTCCTAGTTCGGAAAATGGCCCTCAATACACCGAAGAACTAGAATGCAGCCACATTGGCAGTGAATGGCCTAAGTTAGATTGTTGTGCTTCTTCCTCCTACGGTAGTCAATATGCTGCATAAATTTTCAGGAAAAATATTAGCAATACATCAGAGGAAACACTAACAGATCAGCATTAGATAATTACAAATTAATTTTGCTTGTTGATTTCCGCAAGAACATCCACTTAATTATATCTAGCAGCAGATCACTGAAAGGTTTGAATAGGAATACATTTAGAATTATTTAAGATGACAAATTCAAAACTCACAAAAATGAGGCATATCTTTACTTTATATTTGTACATCTTGAGTGGAATCTTCAAAGCCCCAGAATGATGTAAGCAATAATAAGAAAGTTGGGATAATTGCATGAGATGGCTGTGAATAGTTTTCAACATTGAGAGCAAAAATTCTTCTTTTCCAACTGAGTTGAATGGCAAATTAAGATTCTCGCTAGTGAGTAGCAAGAGCTTATTTGCATATGGTCACATGCATAATCATTCTCATTATGACATCATCTTGTTTCATTGATGTGCAATTTCCCATTTTCCCATCCACCAACAGGAACTTGACAGCAACAATCCCCAATATTAAAGTCAGCGAGGTAACCTAGCCATTCCTGCTCACTGCTTGCACATCCGGTCCTCCTTCAATCACCAACACCTCCGGGCATACTCCATGGGCAGTGACCTCATTGCACCCACCCGCCTCCAAAACAGCATGCCTTGAGTATTTGATAGGAACTATGCAGGGCAGAGTTTAACTAGGTACACAACCAGGCTTTAAAGGTGAGCCCAGGAGATCCCAGTAGTGGCCAGGATGTAAGTGGGGAAATATGACATGCAGGGCACCAAAAGGGCACGATGTATGTTTAATGGAGTGAGTTTGGGAAGATAGCATGAGAAAACTCACTAAGGCTTGCAGAATGAAACTCACCAAAACTGACATGTCCAATTTCTGGTAAAATCCAGTTCATTGTTACAAATATGAGCTTTCATAAGATTGTTTTGAATGTAAAAAAGGTAAAATGGAGCAGGAAAGAGGGACATACAACATCCTACGACTTCTGTTCAGTGATAGATCCATGTGCCCTGATTAGCAGTAGGACAGGGGCTCAGAACGAACCCGATTAAAGATCATAGATCATAGAATCCCTACAGTGTGGAAACAGGCCATTCGGCCCAACAAGTCCACACCGCCCCTCCGAAGAGCATCCCACCCGGACTCATTCCCCTACCCTTGCATTTCCCCATCTCTAAGCCACCTAACCCAAATATCCCTGGACACTATTGGCAATTTAAAATTAAGGCACTAATCTTTAACAACTGGAGATGAAGAAGAAAGGCAGCAAATTTACTGTTTCAGATACACAGAACATAGAGAGGGGCAGGTAAAGAGTAACTGGTGCTGACAGTGAAGGATAATGCTGTTTTGTGTTAAGTCACCAGGCAGGATGCTGGTGGGAGTTTGTTCTCTAGTCAAAGGCAACAGGGTGACACGGTGGTTCAGTGGTTAGCACAATTGCCTCACAGCAATTCGGACCGGAGTTCAATTCCAGCCTCAAGCAACTGTCTGTGTGGAGTTTGCATGTTCTCCCTGTGTCTGTGTGGGTTTCCTCTGGGTGCTCTGGTTTCCTCCCACAGACCAAATATGTACAGATCAGGTGGATTGGCTGTGCTAAATTGCCCATAGTGTCCAGGGATCTGTAAGTTAGCTGGATTAGCCATGGGAAATGTGGCGTTACAGGGATAGGGTGGGTGGGGGAGTCTGGGGGGATACTCGTCGGAGTCAGTGTGGACTTGTTGGGCTGAATGGCCTGTTTCCATACTGAGGGGATTTTGTGAAATATTTCTACGATTCTATTCTATTCTATGAAGAGGGCCTGAGTATTTAAGGATGCTAAGTAAAACTTTGGAATGGCAGGAGAAAGAGTTGGCAGTGTGTGTGTGTTGCTGCTGATTGCTCCAAGAATTCAGAAAATTGAGGGATGAAACTTGCAATTGACACTGACATAATTCAGTAAAACTGGGAAATGCAAACTGGGAGTAACTTTGGACTGGTACCTATAAGGACTACAATTAAGCAGATGTTACCGTGTAATGTATAAACACAGTTTAGAGTTGTCAGTCGTCTTCAGATGTTAAGGGGGTATCTTTTCAGTAGTTTAGTGGAATAGTTACTAAGGAATGTTTAGTCAATGTTACTTTGAGTGCGTTTAAGGAATTGTGTTACTTTTAACCCACCCACACCACTACTAATAGCTGTGCCATCCACTTTAATCTCACGAAAGCCGTTCCTTTTTGTCATTGCAGGAGAAAATAGCCTGTAAAAGAACCAGTTGGTTGGAGGATGCCAAATATTCATCTCCTCAACATCCTAAGAGGAGAGGAGTTTAGCCCTTGTCAGCAAAGACTACAACCAGTCCTATGGAAATGTGAAAACCACCATGTCCTGGCATCCAAATAAGAAGCCCTGTCCATTGCTGAGCTATTGTCCCATTACCCCCACTGTGAATATATACTAGAACATCTACTCCTTGTTCACAACTCATTCTCTCTTGTCTCCTGCAGGTACCAAGACAGTGGCACCACAAGACATCACCTTGTTCACCCCTGAGGAAGAGAGCACAGCTGCTTCATAGGAATCACCAACAAGGCTGCTTCCTGTACCCCCACCAACTAAGATACTAACAACTCATTGGGTACATTAGCTGGATTAGAGTTGGGTGAACATATCACAGCCACATCTCTGCAGCAGGCTGAGGAAGAAATGCCTCAGGTCACTGGCAATTAGAGGACTGGCACAGACAAGACATCTGCTCAGCCCCAGGCAGGACAGGACCCCATGATGTCAGCAATTTGTGACTTCATTGACATACACAAGTAGACACAGGAGCAGAGATAGTGGGAACTGCAGATGCTGGAGAATCTGAGATAACACGGCGTAGAGCTGGATGAACACAGCAGACCAAGCAGCATCATAAAAGCAGGAAGGCTGACGTTTCGGGCGTAGACCCTTCTTCAGAAAAATTTTCAGAGGGAATCACATGACTGAGGCCTGCCAAAGCCTTGTTTCTATGTATCAGCTGCCAAGAATATGTAAAAAAGCTGGAGCTTTGGTGATAACATGTTGTGGGTGGCTAAATGAGGAAACAGTCCCAATCTTGAGAGATGCCTGCCAATCAGATTGGCTGGCAATTCAGAGTGCAATAGTGGATGCTGGTCCATGAAGATGCTAGAACTAGATTTGTGCCAGGCTGGGTCAGGCAGGGATGTGAAAGTCACGCAGAAAGTGGATAACAGGAATGTGAACAAGGATTTGGAGGTCAGATAGTGAGCAACAAATGGGCAGGTGTCATCTTGGGAAGGGGAGCCCCCAGTATACATGGGGGGGCCCACAAATAATGTGGCCCATCCTTATCTTCATACCTGCCTTTTAAGCAGGCTGTATTT